TTGATACTTGAGCGTCGAAGCTTGCCTGCATTGAATGTAAGCATGACTTGCTAATAGAGTTCTTAAGGCATGTCCTCACTATACCTCTTTTTACAAGCTTGGAATGTGCAGAGTTGAATGGTAGAAGAGGTTTCTTTCCCCTGGGCTCATAGGACCAACAGATGTGATGTGGTAGCACATACAGTCGAAGATCCAGGAATCGTAATGATCTTTCGACCGGCAGTTCGTAGGTGAGCTCCAGAGGATTCATACAGTTCTTGAAATTGTAGAGGACCTCTTCCACCATGGCTGTGAAGTTTGTATCATCTGTAGCAAGGAAGATTAAAAAATCATCTACATATCTACATACTTTCACTGCTTTTGATGTATCCAATATTTGTTGTAGACTCCTGTCTTGATGTGCAAGGAAGATGTCACTAAGGACTGGAGCAATGCTGGATCCTATGCATACTCCCGCCTTTTGTAGGTAGGCATTTCCATCCCAAGCCGCGAAGGTGGACTTCAAATAGATCTTCAGTAAGTCGAGAAACTGACTTTGGGACAGACCCGCCGCGTTCATAAAGGGTATGACGCCAAAGGCGTCAATACTTTCTTCCACACATTTTAGGAGACATTTTAGGAGGCTCCTACGAGGTCTTCAGCTTTATAGAAGAACATCGTCAGGAAGAGCTGAAGATATTTTCCATCGATATCAAGGACCTATATTATTCCTTACCCCAAGAATGTCTCCTAAAATGTGTGGAAGAAAGTATTGACGCCTTTGGCGTCATACCCTTTATGAACGCGGCGGGTCTGTCCCAAAGTCAGTTTCTCGACTTACTGAAGATCTATTTGAAGTCCACCTTCGCGGCTTGGGATGGAAATGCCTACCTACAAAAGGCGGGAGTATGCATAGGATCCAGCATTGCTCCAGTCCTTAGTGACATCTTCCTTGCACATCAAGACAGGAGTCTACAACAAATATTGGATACATCAAAAGCAGTGAAAGTATGTAGATATGTAGATGATTTTTTAATCTTCCTTGCTACAGATGATACAAGCTTCACAGCCATGGTGGAAGAGGTCCTCTACAATTTCAAGAACTGTATGAATCCTCTGGAGCTCACCTACGAACTGCCGGTCGAAAGATCATTACGATTCCTGGATCTTCGACTGTATGTGCTACCACATCACATCTGTTGGTCCTATGAGCCCAGGGGAAAGAAACCTCTTCTACCATTCAACTCTGCACATTCCAAGCTTGTAAAAAGAGGTATAGTGAGGACATGCCTTAAGAACTCTATTAGCAAGTCATGCTTACATTCAATGCAGGCAAGCTTCGACGCTCAAGTATCAAGGCTAAGGTCCGCTGGATATCCTCTACAAATATTGACGTCGGTAACCGAGGTTCTCCTCAGAGAAATCAAGCTCGGTAGCGCCGCAAAAATACCCAGAGACAGGACAACCAGACCGGTAGTCGTGCCATATATGCATAATCTATCGCATGGTCTAAAGAAAATAGCGAACAGAGTAAATGTGAATGTAGTGTTTTCAGCACCACACAAACTTCACAGCCTCTGCAAAAAAATAAACACCTCCTCAATCAGCACCGTCAGCTGCGCAAAGAAACACAGATCCAACTTTGTCCCATGTGTTGAAGGAGTGGTCTATTCGTTTCCCCTTTCCTGCGGAAAAGAGTACATTGGACAGACGGGGCGGTGTTTAAACGACCGCCTGCGAGAGCACAACAACAACATTGCCAATGCCAACTCCGGTCACCTAGGTATTCACTGTAGGGATTGTGGCTGTTTTGCGCGACTGGACAACTGTGCTGTGTTAGGCAGGAGTAAAAACCAGCTCACCCGAGAAATTATAGAAGCGGAGAACATTGCAAGACGAGAAGCCCAGGGCGTTAGCACTCCGTCCTTAGCTTTATCGAAAAAAGAACTACATTATTTAGACAGAAGGTGTTTAAGACAATAAGCCAGTATAACCACTGATTTTTGTTTACATCTTATATTATTTAACAACTAATTTCTGTAACTCTTGGACTTTTTGCATCACTCAAACTATTTACGCCGAGAGTGCAGTCGACAGTAGGCCAGCATATCACCTGGTTTATACCTGTGCGTGATTAATTTTGTAATTATTTTTGTAATTTTTGTAACTCTTGGACTCTGGTGCATTAGTGTTATTCTCCTTTATTTTCCTTTTCTTTGTCTTCTATTCTTCTGTTTTCCTTTTCTTTTTCTTTTGCCTTCCCCCATTTGCCTTGTCTTAACCCTTCTCTTGCTCTGCAACCTATTCCTTGGGGTCGAAGAAGAGGAAGTTTAAAATACAATTCAGTTGATAGTTCAGCGCTGTGTGAGTGTATTTTTTGTGTGTTTGGATTTTGAATAACTGTCTACTTGCGCTGGTTTGTGATGATGCCTTACCAACTCGCCCAATCTGCAGTATTAACAGCTACGAGTTTTATATGGAGGCTATGAGGAAGCAGCATTTTTAGGGAGGGAGTTTGAGCGTAGATTGGTATGCACTGTTTATCGCGTCAGTGAGGTGTTCTGGCGGTTCGTAGAAGCCCTCGAGGATTTCAATTCGGTCCTGTGTCATGACATGTATAACCATTGTCAGCACTATCTGAACCTCTTTATCCAACGTCAATTCCCCTACGGGACGGCCTTCCATAGGCTGACCTATACCAAATATTTTTTTCTGAAAAGGCAAGTTTTTTGGCTAAGAGAGGCGACAGGGGCTAAGCGCTTATTTTCTGCAATGTTATGAAGTAAACGCTTTCGTTTTAATCGAGGCTCGCTCTGGGACCGAACACTCCTCTTAACCCACCTCTCGCCATCAAGATAAAGTAGGGATTCGAATGTTTCTATTGGATTCCACTTGCCCAGCGTCCGTTGGTCTGGCCAAAAGGATCTAGTTAGATGGCCGCGTCACATTCTTGATGCTAAATGGAAACTTTAATTCCTCTAGGGCAACCTTATACGGTTCATATAATAGGACAGGTTGGGATAACTGTTCCTAAAAACGTATTTGAAGTATTGTCGTTAGATATCTCACTGGAGGTATTGCGAAAATGTTCACATAAAACTGATCGCTCATTCTAATGACCGATCGTGAACTCGGCCAACACCAGACTGACCGGACCGATAGCGAGGTTCGATCCTTTCTATCGGAACAAAAAGAAAGACAAATAAATAGAGGTGTTCATTTATTTTCACGAGTCCACACTATCCAAAGTGACCAGTCTGTATCGAAGAACACCTGCGGCCAGCCGATGCACGTACGTTGCTTTGATGTGACACTTGCACCGCACTGACTGACCGCTTGATGGTATGCACCGTGTCTGAGAGGATCTCCAACACGTCCGTCGTTTCCGCATCGTTCACTCTGGACATCACCTTGCTCACCCATCCCGTCAAGAATGTGAAAGGACCCTCGTGCGATGGCCACTGCTTGTCATCTCCCACGTAGTGCTCGTACACGTGGGGCACTACCCGGAACACAACTGGGTCAACTTTGTAGGGAAGGAACTTGCCGAGCACAATCAGATCGATGAACACTTCCAGTGCAGTCACAAAGAAGTCGTTGTTCGTCTTACGGTCTTTAGCGCAGACTTCTATGTTGTTCCGTCGAGCGTGTTCTCCCATGCAACTAGTAAAACGTCCGCTCGCAGACATTTCGACACCTCTATCTTCATCACACGAATGACGTACAGAGCAGGGTGTAAGATAGACAGGTGGGGAAACGGCCCATAGAAGCCTACCGCAGCGCCGTGACCGGATTGTGTACTCGTCTGCTTGCGGGTACCCCCGACTTGCGACAGATGGCGCTGCGGTGAGAGGAAAAAAATCGGAATCGGATTTGCGTGGAACTTTATGGGAGAGTGCGCAAAATAAACCGAGAGCACGACAGTCGTTCATTAAAAATCCACGAGAAACCATCTCCGTCAGTTTTGCCGGTCGCCACCGGTCGCCCACCCGGTGTGAGAGTTCGCAGTGCTCCACATAGATGGCGCCACAGAAAAAGAGAAAACCGAGGGGGACACAATGCGGTCAGTCATTTGGCTCTCGTTTCCCCACCTGTCTATCTTACACCCTGGTACAGAGTTCGTTGCCTTGGCCGTACGACACCTCACGAACATGTCCACAGATTGAAGGTCACCGATAAGATAAATCGCGCGACTGGCTACATCTTTTGGGAATATCACCAAATGCACTGGACATGGCTCCATCCAGCGAGGTGTCCCACACTTTCCCACGAGTCACCAAGGTAGGTGGGGAGTACGCTGATTGGTGTGCCGGCGGTGACCTCAGGCGCCGCCTTGTGGAAGCATCACCAACTACAGTCTGAAGTTGACAGAGTGTAACAGAGCGGCGAGCCCTTGCACTACCTACGATTGCACACAGTCTAAGTACGGAATATTCACTTCGCTTTATGGCGCTGAGCTACCGTGTCGGGCTACTGGACGCAAGGTTCGGAACCGGCCGAGCTAAATTTTTTTTAAAAGCCTTTTTCTGAGAATTAGAATTCGCAGTTGTCACGTGGAATTACGTCACAAGCCACGGGACTACAAATAGGTCTATCCATTGAGCAATGATCTTCTACCTGCCGATGATCGACTATCATCCGATGATCGGTTATTGGTCGCTGATAAATATATTCATCGATTATTAAGAATTTTTTCATATATAAGAAACATCTTTTTCTGATATCTGAATAGGATAGGATTGGCTAATTGGCCAGTCGCGCGCTCCTACGTCAGACCCAGCTTCGAGTGCGCAGTCAGCCACTTAGATATCGGAATAGGTAGGGTCAGATATCAGAAACATGGACACCCCGATATCGGGAACATATCGGAAACACATGTTTTAGTATTGATTGATTATTGGGCTGATCATGCACTCTTTTTCTACTACTGACTATTTCCGGAAGCGGAGAAATAGCTGTCATTTCAAGTTATTATTATTCTAAAATAAGAAAGGAATATAGTACCTAAAATGATGCCCCAGGTCATAGACATAACCAGGGGAGACTCTCTCGGACCGTACCAGAATGGCGAGATTGCGGTTCAGGGCCCAGGCGTCATGAAGGGCTACCATGGGCATCCCGAAGCTACTGCGGAAGCCTTGAGCAACGATGGATGGCTGCGAACAGGTGCTCATCTCATTTTCGTGTATATTTTTTATCACCAATTACAAGACTACCCTTTCGATCACACCCAAATATCTCAATTGCGCCTGAATAGTTATTGGTCTGGCGTGTTATGATGCACTTGTTTTAGGTTCCCCAGTTCATAGTCTGTTCGTTGAGTCTCAAAACTATCTTGTTTAGTATCCAGCCATTATAGTGGACAAAATTAAAGAAGGCAATATTTGTATATAGAGTTTTCACATGATGTTAAAAAATTACCTACTATCCTAATTCGGTTGCCGTCGCTGTGTGCAAGGTGTGCGCACGAAAGCGTGCAGAGTCGCGTTTCTAGACGCCCATCCGCGTTCTTGACACACACGTATTGTTGTGTTCTCTTGTCTCTGTGTTGTAGTGCACGTGACCGATAGTCATTGTGCGTTTCCTAACGTACATAAGTTCGATGGAGGGAGTTCGTTACAAAATAAATGCTTGTTTACGCAAGTTATCATTCATATTAGCTCATTTTCGAACCCCCTACGAGACAGCACTCCGTACACAACACGTGCCACAAATAGCCGCTTTGACCCCACCAATATTGGTTGAAAGGTGACTACTCTTTCGTAAGGCACCGCTTCAAGCTCAGTGAGACGTTAAACAGATCAATCAGAACTTGTTTTAAAATGGCACTTGTATTAAAGAAATGATTTGAGCTGCGCGAAGTGTGAAATGTCAGCTCGAATCGAATTTGAATCAAAGTGCCGAATACTGGCCAAAAATTTAACTTCGAGTTGAATATTTAATTTCAAAACTTTTATTTGCAGTGCACAGAACTACCGTAAAGTTCCGAAAGAACGCCCACCCAAAATTAAGAGATAAATGGTGAAAAACATGGGGTGGGCGAAGTTTCGGGCCAAGGGCCAAAAACTACAAAAAAAATGGCTGCATTTGACAGATCAGCGGTGCATACGCATTTATTGCTCACTCGTCATCGCTAAATCCATCGAACGACTCATCGCTGTCGCTGTCAAAGACGAGTTGCACTACTTCGTCCACTATGCTCTCCCGAGCTTCGGGCCCCATCGCTGGTTCGTCGCTTACAGAGGCCAGGCGGTGGTTCAACTCCCCGTCTTCTGAGCCGTCGAGGCGTGTTGAGATGCCGCAGCGCTTGAACGACGTCAGGACGGCCTCCTCCGATAGAGATGCCCAAGCCTCGGACACGAAGCTGACGACATCCTGACGCGACGGCTTCTTGAGGTTCCCTTTGGCGGTGACAGCCCCTTCCCGCAAGAAGGAGGACTAACGATTCCTGAGAGCATCTTTGAAGGGCTTCATCCAGCACACGTCTGCTGGCTGGAGAATAGACGTGCACCCGCCAGGAATGAAGACAACGTCGGTTTCCTTCCCGTCGAGGGCCTCCCGCGCTGCCTCTGTCTTGTGAATGGGCGCCTGGTCCAAGACGAGCAGCCGCCTCACGTCGTCTTTGTTGGCACCCCACACCCTCCGCACCCATTCGAGGAAGACCGGCGTAGTCATCCATCCGTTCCTTGAACAGGTCACTCTCACATTTTCTGAAAGGAGCCGAGATTCGGTTTCATTCCAAACTCCGGCAAAGCCAACCACCAACAACCGGAGCAGCCGCAAACACGAAAGCATCGCCGCATCGCTGCGTAGTATTGACGGTATTGATGAAAAAACAAAACTTGTGACGAACCCATGCAGCGCCCTCTACTAGAAATGCACAAATACATGTGGAAGGCGCTTTTTATATCGTTCACAAAACAACGCTGTCCTAAAACTTTTTTTTTTTTTTATGCGAAAGGCGTGAGTGCATGTTTTCAACTTATTTTTATGCTGAAATTTGTTTGGGCAAACCAGAAGTAACATTGGCCGCACGCGGAAATTGAGACAATACCTGGGATTTGAAGTGCGAACAGTGCCCTTGGCGGGATCCGGCCCGTCGGTTCCTTGAGCACGATGAGAGCCGTGAGTTTGATGCCCGCAGCTGTTGCACAGAGTGCAACCGTCAGTCCACGACGCGCACAGCCTGTGTTCACGATGCGGATGCTTGATTCGCCGGCAACGTTGTTTGTCCGCTTGGCTGGGCAGTCCATGCGTACCATGGTTTGGTCCATGTTGGCTATACTAAAGTTGGAGTAACTGTGCTCCAGGCGCAGGCTTCCCACAGCCCTCCGGAAGACGGAGATTGCGTCAGCGTAGTCAGCCGGCAGCTTCTGACTCTCGTTCGTCCCCACTCACATCGACACATTGAAGCGGGCTTTCCAGCGGGCCAGGTAGTGGTTCGAAGCTTCGAAGTTGCCCAGGTTCATCTGAACCGCCAACTTGCGTGCGTGCTCTTGAAGGACGCGGTTGCTCACCGCTCGCCCCGCCGCCCGCTCGGTATCCAAGAAGTCCATGAGTGCTTCATCGAGCTCTTCGCTGAAGACCGGCCGTCCGTTGTTGATGGCTCTCTTGAATTTGTTTTTGCCGTGGCACTGCTGCAGAAGGGACTGGTAGTTGGTGCTCCATTCGCGAACACGTTTCCTGTCCAGCTCAAAATGTCTTGCAGTTTTGCTTACGTTGTCTCCATTCTTCTTGTGCCACTGGACAACTTCCACCTTTCTCTGGATGGTGTAGCTATTCCTCATGGTCGATGCTGGAAGCGAGGGCAGGTGAACAGCTGCGGAGCACGCAGAGGAATGACTGTCTACTAGTGTGGAGTTTGTTTGCTTGAGCTGTTTCTTCTTTTCCTTTGTACCCGGACGTCTTGAATGATTCACTTCTAGTTCGCCCTTATCTTATTAATCTAACCGGAAAAGATCTTCTCTTTTGTTAGAAATCGGGTCACTGGCGGTGTTTGCGGACGAGTCATCGGTTTTTCCAGAGGTATGTTCGCGGCGGGGGCTTCCCGGGCTTTCGAATGCGTCGAAGCTACTGCGATTTTTAGGGGGTGGGCGATGTTTGGGAACTTTATTAAAATATATATTTCGTCCAAAAAGGTGGGTCGGCGAGGTTTCGGGCGGGGGCGTTCTCTCGGAACTTTACGGTATACAAAAATCGCATTGAAAAACAAAAACACGAAAGCATATTTTTCTGCAAGACAATGAAACAAGGAGGGTTAAGTGCTGACAAATTTGGATGTTGCTTTTCAGGAGATTTAGGTTACTATGACACTGATGGACGGCTCCATGTTATTGGGAGATTGAAACAGATGATAAAATGCATGGATAACGTCGTCACCCCTGCTGAGCTGGAAGAAATTTTGATCAGCCACGAGGCTATCGCAGAGGCCGCTGTTGTGGGTGTCCCGAGCTCAAAGTATGTTGAAGCTCCTACAGCCTGTGTCGTTGTCAAGGACGGCTTCGACAAGAACCTCGAGAGTCTGGCGACGGAACTGAAGGAACTCATTGCTGGTATGTCATGTTCCCAATGTCAATTTTGTCTTTTGGTGTGTTATGGCATGCCTAACTTGCACATTTTAAAGCTTAAATGTTAAGTATAATACAGAAAGTTGGTTTAGGAAAAAGCGGTCTATGAGCTCCAATTATTCAGGGACAATGATCTCTAGAGATTATGCTTTTTGACTTATGCACAAAATCCTACAAAAATAACTATATATCCGCAATAAAATATTTGAAGCTTTTATGGCAGGAGAAAATGCACTGTTTTGTTTTTATTATGACTATAAAAACACTGCAAATAACATAATCATTTTTTGCTGATACAGCTTTTTTTCTGATCTGGAGATTTCAAAGTAATAATTACAAATTTGGTGGCGCAAATATACATCTTCAAAAAGGTTCTGGATAAAATTTTAGAGCCGGCAATTATTTAGCGGGACGTTTGGCTCTGTTACATTAATATCTACTTGAAAGTAACAATGAAGAGAAGCACTACTGTAATATCCCGAGGAAAGCCCCACCCCCAGAAATAACTTACCCCTAGAGTTGGCTTGAGTTACGATTTTCGTTTTGAACACCGAAATATAGCCCACTCCTAGTAATCGCGGTTCTCGGATCAATGATGGCCTCGCCGTAAATGTGGATAGTTGGCTATGGCGGGATAAGCGAACATTACTGTGATCTTTGTTTTGCTTTTTAATATACTGCCATTTTTGCTTCACTATCACATTTAAAAATAGTGCTCTTGTTTTTTTTTCCAACTTTTTTTTGTTATTTTCACCCAACTTGCTCTCGATTTTACGTGGGCTATTCCTCGGGATTTTACGGTACGGTAGTTAAATTACTCCCCATAATGCACATGGTACGACAGGAGCAGATGTGCTTGGTTTGTAATATGCATTTTTCTATAGTTCTCAAAACTACATAAACACAAAGCGTTACTGTCTTTCTGTTTTTTTTTCACAAAATATGGTTACATGAGTGGAGTGATGAGCTTGCGGGAGATTGATTAGGCTATTATGCCTCTTTGTCTTACCTTGGTTTCTGTCTTAAAGGTCAAGTAGCAGTGTTCAAGCAGCTGTATGGAGGTGTTTTCTTTATGAAATCTCTTCCCAAGTCCGATAACGGAAAGATCCTGAGACAAGACCTAAAAACAAAGGTTGCCCATGAAATAGAAAAGTTGAAAAAATACTGAGATTCGCAGACTCCACAAGCTACACGAAAATTAAGACGTAACCTTCGATTAAGTTGTTTCTGTATTTCAATTGTAATAAAAAAGAATTTAAAACAAAACTCCAGAAGTTCAGATATTTGTGATGAAGTGGGCAGTCGTTTTTAATTTAAAAACTTCGTATGTATCTAATAAAGCTATGTGTTATTTATGGTCAAATCTATAAAACAGTTTGTGTATCAGGAGGTCTAGTATAGTGTTTTGACGATCCAGTCCGTAACAGAGAGGATAAGGCGGTAAGATAATAGAACCCACAAAAGATTTGTGGAGGCCGGGATTGTCTGGCCCAAGAAAGTCGTGCTCGCCAGACTTGAGAGCATGTCTTGACACCGTGACGTCACGTGACCACGCCGCATGTTATCAGGTGACACGTAACGTCACATGATTATTCATAGTTTCAATACAAAGGCGCCACGAAAGCCAAATTCTCATACATTTCAATTCTGTATATAACAATTTAATCAATAGTTGCTAATCAGTAACGGATCAGTAAATCAGTTCCTAATTGTTTTCTTTATAATCAAATATTGAGTTTTTGATCTTGACAAAACAAAATATATATCACCGTGAACCGTTTTGAACCAGTTACCGACGTTTTTTTTCCGGTTCATTTACGGTTCTGTCTCAAAAGGACGGAGACAATACCGCTTCGTTTCAGTTCCGGTTCGATCAAATATAACGGTTCGGTTCGGTTTTCGCTCGAAACTCTGGTTCACCGCGCATGCGTCATCGTGCGTCTCCCGGCTCCCTCGGGAACCCCCGCGCGCGCTGCGTCGTGGGTCGTTGTGTCGTCTGCTTGTGTACAGCCGCTTTGGAAGAGCACTCGCGTTATTAAAAGAACGCAATTTTTATTTATTTATTTATTTATTTATTTATTAATACTACTGTCTCCTATTTCAGGAGACGTGGTAGGAGTGGTTTACAACATCTGTGTACACAAAAACAATAATAAAAAAAAAAACAGCAGGTAACAAGCACAAGAATATTCGTTCTAGCTGATCCAAAAACACAAACAGCGTTATACAAAGACTATTCATCGCAAAAAAAAAAAAAAAAAAAATTAAGAAATGAGCATTAGATACAAGAATCACAAAAATCTCGGAGTTTATTAAAAAAGGAGGACTCTGGTGATGCTGTTATTATATCGCCTGGCAGAGAGTTCCAGTCGTGAACAGTCCTTGGGAAAAAAGAGTACTTAAATGCATTAATCCGACAGTTGAATTCTTTGAGCGTTTTGCAATGATAACTTCGCATGGGATAATCTTGAGGCGCGGGTGAAATATATTTAGAGATATCGATTTTGAACCGGTTGTTTAACAAATCAAATAGAAACTTTATTCTCGTAAACTTGCGTCTATGCTTTAGTAAGTTCACCCCAGAAAGGGCGTACAGTTCAGGGACGGGATATTTTCGCTGGAATTTATTATGAATGAAGCGTAAACTTTTTCTTTGAACATTTTCGACGACGTTTATGTTGGTACTTGTAAACGGATCCCAAACCACCGAAGCGTATTCTAGGATGGGTAATATGAAAGTTTTATAGGCTGTCAATTTAACGTCGGAAGAGGCATGTTTTAAATTTCTTCTTAAGTACCATAATTTGGATAGTGCTTTGCGCGCAGTAGACATGATATGAGTGTTCCAGCGTAGGTCATTCGATATAATAACACCCAAGTATTTATAAGAAGTAACTTCGGCTAGTGAAGTACTATTAATGGAATAATCGAAAGAAAGATGACTTAATTTACGAGTTATATGCATTCGAACACACTTCTTGACATTCAATGACATGTGCCACGAGTCGCACCAGTGCGCCATCTTGGACAAGCAGGTGTTTAGTAGAATCTGGTCACTTATTTCATTGACTTCTGTAAATAAAACCACATCGTCTGCAAACAGTCGAACACGTACTGGAATACTAGCGGTTAAATCGTTTATAAAAATTGAGAACAGTAATGGCCCCAGGACCGACCCTTGCGGAACACCCGATAAAACAGGGACTAATGATGATTCACTCGAGTTGATCTGTACATACTGCTTTCTGTCCTGTAAGTAGTTCTCGAGCCAGCGAAAGACACCTTCGTTTTGAACAATTGATTTAAGTTTAAGGAGAAGTTTACTATGTGATACTCTATCAAAAGCTTTAGAAAGATCTAGGAATATGACGTCAATTTGTTTGGATCGATTCAGGATATTTGCGAAATCATGAACTGTTTCAAGTAACTGAGTCGTAGTAGAAAGGCCATGACGGAAACCATGTTGATTTGAAAAGAAAAAAGAATTTTTTTCTAAGTAACTCGCGAGGTGTTTAAAAACAATATGTTCTAGCAGTTTCGAACAGTAAGGAAGTAATGAAATGGGCCTATAGTTTACCGGAAGTAGCAGGGAGCCAGTTTTATGAACGGGAATTACTTTTGCATATTTCCACTCAGCAGGAATGACAGATTCTGTTAAAGACCTTTGAAAAATAAGGTAAAGATATTTCGAGCACCACTCAGCGTAGCGAATCAAAAATGAATTTGGAATACCGTCAGCACCAATGGCTTTCTTTGCTGGAAGATTAAGCAGAGCTGAGAATATTCCTTCTGTAGAGATAATGATATCAGGTAACGTTGATAAAGTGGACAGCTGATCAAAACAAGGCACGGTGCCGTTATCCGTAGTGAAGACAGACGCAAAATATTCGTTGAAACCTTCTGCGATAGCGCTATCATCGTCTACCAGATTGTCTGAAACGAAAAGCGTGGAAATCTTTTTTCGGGCCGGCGATAACGCCCTCCAGAATTTATCAGGCGATTCTTTCAAAAATGTTTGCAGAGTGACACTATTGAATCGAAACTTGGCGAGGCGAACCATTGTTTTAAGTTGTCTTCTCATTTCAGAGATAGGTAAAAATTTGTTGCACTTCCTAACACGATTAATTCTCCGTTTCAAGTGCAGAATTTCACGAGTTATCCACGGGTTATGCTTGCGTGCAACTTTAGTGCTCATCGGAACAAAACGGCGTAAACATTCAAGCACAACCTCCTTAAAAAAGCCCCAAAGAAGGTCAATAGAACAACCGTCCGAACACATATTTAAAAACGTATCAAGGGAAAGTTCTAGCGCATCAATAATGGACTCATCCTCAGCTTTAGAGAAATTAAAAATAAGCTTGGGATTCTGTTTACGTGGTGATTGTTTAGTTCTAGAAGTTGAAATTTCCACCACCACCATCAGATGATCAGAAATTCCTTCATCTACGTTGCACTCATAGTTCCGTGCCGCAATCGCGTCGGATATGAACACAAGGTCGAGTGTAGAATTAGAGGACGCGGTAATACGTGTAGGGCCATTTACAATTTGAAGTAGATTATTATTGAACGCTATGTCAATTAGTAGGGAAGTATTGGGACAGTTCGTGGAATTGCTACTGAGTGATTCCCAATCAACTGAAGGCAAATTAAAATCACCAGCCATCAAAAAGAGCGGATGTTTTTGTTTAATTTTGTAAACAAAATTCGTAAGCACCTCAAGAAAGAATGGACATGCATTCGGAGGTCGGTAAACGACACCTATAACGATTGCAGGAGTAAAACTAGTTAATTTCAGCCACAGTGACTCAATTTCCAAAACTTCATCAAGTACTACAAAATTTAAATGATTTTTCAAGATTATGGCAACGCCACCGCCACGAGATTCTCGGTCATTCCGAAGTATGTTATATGAAGGAGGAATTATCTCGGAATCTGCGATTGCCTCGTGTAACCATGTCTCCGTCACGGTGACAACATCAGGATCATAGTCATGTAGCACGCATTCAAGATCAACAACTTTATTTACAAGACTTCTAGCGTTTACATTTATCAGTTTTAACTTGTTTGAACAAAAATCGTCATGTCACGGTGACAAATTACCTTGATCAGACTCTTGTGTTTTGTTTGGTCTAGAAACACAAACTCTGGTATTGTTTGCAGCGTTCCATTCATAAGTAAGACCGTTAATCTTCATTTTATTATATAGGAGGGTGACTTTATCTCCCTGTTCCCTGTTATGGGCTGCGCTGTCCCATAACTTTTTGCGAAGTAGCCGGACTGGCTTGGAGTAGTCATCGGAAACAGAAATTCCAGTATTTTTTAGTTTCCGAGCATTTTTGAAGATACTCGTTTTTTCATTGAAATCACGAAGGTTCAGGAGGACAGGCCGTGGCTTAGTCCCCCTACTGTAACCCAGTCTGTGTATCCTTTCAATGGAGGTAACAGTTACATCCAGCATGCCATCGAAAACGTCAGTGCAAACCTTTTGCCTTAGTTGAACAGGGTTCTCCCGGGGGTCTTCGGGTATACCGTAAACAATTACATTATTGCGTCGGCTACGGTTTTCAAGGTCATCAACCTTTTTTTCCATTTGTGAAATTGCTGACGTCAAGTGGGAAACGGTGCTAGATAACTCAAACATTTTAGTTTCGTAATTTTCAAAAGATTTTGCCGTGCCTCTGACCTCGTCAATGGTCGCTTCGATAGTAGATAGCCGCTTGTTAATGCCATTAAACGACTCCTTTAGGCTTAGTTGTTCCTTCCGCATCTCCTTTATATTCTTGGCAACGTCCTTCTGACTTTTTAGGATCTCCTGTATGGCTTCCGTATTTGGGCCGGGGTTAGTTTCAACGTCCCCCGCTAAGAGTAACAACAACTGCACTGAATGAACACAATCCGCGAGGATACAGATGAATGTTCCGGGGCATGGCAGCACTATGAGACATACATCGTTACTTCTGAATTCATCGTGATGCATATACGTTATACTAACCTGCGTGATCAGGAAGAACAGTTTAGCCGTCATGCTCCATGCTGTGCTGCCATGCCCACTGGCGAGATCTTATGGAAGCAAGGCTTTTGTAGGCGAAGGCGCTGGTATCGGGAATGAAGGTGACGTCACGAAGCCACGTGGTCCGGGCACATCCTGGTGATAGAAGAATGCTGACG